GTTTTTGAGACAAGACTGGATAAAACCCGGAGCAACCAGGTCTAACCTCAGCGCTGGCCCTGCTGTGTGCGTACAAGATTGGTCTACAGCTCTCCTGAGGTCCCCTCCAGCCTCAACCATCCTCTGATGCTGCCTGTACAAGCTTCATGGCCTGGGCGACATGAAACCTGGAGGTAAAGCGAGGGAGAAATCCCAGCCCCGCTCCCAGACAGATGCTGCAGCCACTGCTAAGACCAAAGCCAAAGGACATGGTACATAAAACAGTTGCAAGTTGCAAAATACTGCGGGAGCAGAACTGAAAGGTGTCTACATGGTCGTGAATTAGTTATTTAGAACACGCTGTTTGATGACTTTTTTTTTTTTAAGATGAAAAACTATTCCTATACAACTATTAAGTTTTTTATGAGTGCTTAGCACAGCAGATCCAGCAGTACTGTAAGTTCGTAAAAACAGCCACTTTTTAACAAGAGTGCGTGCAGTTCTGTGTAGAAGGGCAATCAAAACTGTCACTTTGTACAATATAATGGAACAGGACACTTGTCATACTCAAGGCTAAGCTCACTCAGCTACTGCAGCTAATACTAGAGATTTATTTAAATTAATCTGCAGGAAAATTAAATCCATTACCTTAAAAAGCAAGGGAATAAATCATACCCAACAGGAAACCAGGAAAAGCTGCTGCCATTTCAGTCAAATCTAAGGTTGTGTGAGCACGTGAAATTTTTCCTTGTCAATGACATAAAAACAATTCATAGCAGGAAAAATAATATCAGCTGTTGTTATAATGCAAAACGCAAATACTCTCAATGACTTTAACACTGCAGCTGAAGTATGAAGAACATCTCAAGCTGTTTGTATTTCCAAACAAGACTTGAGAGGTCAGAGGAGGGAGGAGGACATGTGGGCAGGCTGGAATGATGGATGGCGTTTAGTGGCATGCTGCGTTTGGGTCTACTCTTGTTATTTTTGCAACAGGATGTCTCTGATTACTCTCTGAATAGAGAATAAGGATGGTTACGTCTCATTGCTCAAAGGGAACATTTTTTTCAGAGCCTTACAAATTAAATAGGACATCGTAAAGCAAGCAGTCAATGAACTATCAAGTGCTGTTTGTCACAAATCTAGCAACAGTGTCGGAATATTCCCTGGGGGCATCAGCAGTGGGTTTGGGGCTGGCAACTAAGGTATATGTACTCTTGTCCCTACGTACAGCAGACCCCAGCTCTGCAGAGTCCTTCTCTGTCATTGCCTGTACGGTTTGGTCCAGGCCAAAGGATATAAAATGTATGCAGCAGGGGCACACTGAGCCTCTAAATAACTATTTCAGCCATAAAGTTGATGCAATATGGAAAGGACTTCATGAATGATGGAGGACAATTGCTTTTCCAAATCCCATCCTTCCAGAGATCTTTGCAGAACTGGCTCCTGGCTCCCACAGTGCTGCCTGGTGCGATGGTCAGGCCAAAGCTGCCTAACTCAAACACTTCTTGAGTGTCACCAGTAAGGTGATGAGACTCTGTCCGCAGCCAGACCTCAGAGGCCATGACGACATTCACACTCCACAGTGCAGCCCTGGCCACAGAGCATTTCTTTGAGAGCTACTGAGGTTCCTCACTGATGTCAAAGCAAACTGCAAGTCCTCAGCAAGTTGCAGAAAAGGCTGAGACGTGGGGACTTGGGAACCACATGAACGTGCATGCAGGGAAATAAGCACACACAAGTGTTGCCAACATGGGGGGGGGGTGTTGTTTTCTCAAAGGGAAGGCTTCAGGCAAAAAGGAAAGGGAGAAACGTTGGAAGCAAGGTCAGTTAGAAGTGACAGCTGATCTTAAACCTGAATAAACTTGGGGCTGAAGCTGCAAATGGAGGCCATAAAGTGAAACACACGGGAATAATTTCTCTACAACAGCGTAACATCTCCTAATGAGCCAGCTCCATGAATCAGCTTATCTAAAATAGAGACGCCAGCTCATCCAGGGACTGGATGACTCAGTAACACCAAGGACCTCTCACTGGGGTTTACCAGTTTGATTCTGGCGCAAGCTCAAAGCATCCAAGAACTGTCTTCATGATGTCACAACCTCTATAAAAAATGTCACTGGTCTCAGTGCAGTTTCTCAGTGGGCAGAAGTTCACATCAAAGCCACCACTGAACGCCTTTCCAAGGAGGTGCAGTGAGCCAACACGACAGAGAGTTAACAACCTTCTCGCTCTTCAAAAGGGATCTCAAGCTCAGGACTGGACCATAGAAAAACTGCTACCCATTTGTCGTGGTTTAACCCCAGCCAGCAACTAAGCACCACGCAGCCGCTCACTCACTCCCCCCCCATCCAGTGGGACGGGGGAGAAAATCAGGAAAAGAAACAAAACTCGTGGGTTGAGACAAGAACGGTTCAACAGAATATAAAAAGAAGAAACCAACAATGACAATGATAACACCAATACAGTGACAGCAGCAATGACAAAGGATTGGAATACACAAATGATGCACAGTGCAATTGCTCACCACCTGCCGATCGACGCCCAGTTAATCCCCAAGCAGCAATCCCCTCGCCCCCACTACCCCCAGTTTATATACTGGTATGGAATACTCCGTTGGCCAGTTTGGGTCAGGTGCCCTGGCTGTGTCCTGTGCCAACTTCTTGTGCCCCTCCAGCTTTCCTGCTGGCTGGGCATGAGAAGCTGAAAAATCCTTGACTTTAGACTAAACACTACTGAGCAACAACTGAAAACATCAGCGTTATCAACATTCTTCTCATACTGAACTCAAAACATAGCACTGTACCAGCTACTAGGAAGACAGTTAACTCTATCCCAGCTGAAACCAGGACACCATACTGACCGGTTCCGTAACAAGGACTATGCAAAATAAAAAAAAAGGAAGGAAAGAAAGAAAAAAAGAAGGGAAATCACAATGTATTTACAAACAGAGCAAATGAAGATGGATCGTAAAATCCTCGTTTGCACTGGATATCACAGATGTTGTAACACAGCACAATTAAGAAAGCAGCAAACATTTCGTGATATGAAGCAGCCAAAGAGAAGAATATGTCAAAACTCAAATGTCAGACAAATTTTGGGCAAGAACTCTGTACATACGCCAAGCTTTCTGGATTCCTTCCCAGAGCCAAGACACCAGTCTCTTACATACAATTTATCCATCTCTGTCTCGTCTGTTTTTGACTAGTTTTAGCATAACCATTTAAGGGTTTTATTTAATCAGCCAGGAAGGAAAGAGTTCAAGGAACACCAGGGAATATGTGGCAACATATAACAAGATTAGATCACTTGCGCTGGATTATACTCCTCTGGCACACCACAGAAGAAATAACCCCAGTCAAGGTCTGCACGTTCAATGGTCTACAGGGAACGAGACTGGCATTATTCAAGGTAAGTGACACTTTAAAGAACTTTAAATTAGCTGTTGACAGTCAGGTAGGATAGGTTGATGAGTGATTACATGAAGTCCCCAACATTACGATTTTGTGGTGAAAGCACATATGAAGGGGGGGGGGGGTAAGAAAATCCATTAAATATGGTTTTGCCAATCTGTGGTGCATTCAGATGACAGTGAAGTTTGTTTAAGTATGCTGGAATCTTATAAAACAAATTGCTTTCTCTGAATCGAAAGTTGACAGAAAGTTTCCTAGCTATATTTCTGACTCCAGAAACACTGCAAGCCATGCTAGTAGACTATGATTAAAAAAAAAATAAAAATCAATCTGCCCATCACCATTCTTCCTAACAAGTGTTCCTTCTTCCAGGGCTAAAGGACCACCTGCAAGTGGAGCAGAAGTGCAGCTCCCCTGAACTGCATGATTAAGGCTGACTTGCTGTATGTACAACAGATGCCCTCATTGCAGTGGTCCCTAAAATATGTTTTTAAATAAAATTAACTCAACTCAGGAATCTGTAATTAGCACCATCTTCGAGAACAAATCGGAACAAGTTTATTGAAGCACTCTAACTATTTACAATGAGAGTGAATTTACCCCCGAGGTTCACTTTACTATTTTGTCTCAATTTTCTTGTAATTTCATCCATCACATTTTTTTCAGTCCTCCAAAGGTGATGGATAAAACACAGAAATAAATAGGACCAACTGTTCGCAGAAGCCTAAGGGAAAACATAATTTTGTTATAAATAATCCTTGGCACAAATCATGGAAATGCAATACTAAAATTGTTTGTTGAATCATTTATGAATTGGGCCTTCAGCTTTAGTTTGCAAATAAGTTAGAGCTTTTTGTTGATGTTCTTTTTCACTTTGCTTTTTTAGCTGGAAAACAGCCTTTGAGAAACTGAACTGATATATAATCCAGAAAACAGAGTGAATGAAGGATTTTATTTTTTTTTTTTAAGGGCTTCCCTAGGCAAATGCGGGGCGTTTTTTGGGGGGGGGGGGGATTTACTTATGGATGATGATAAACTAAATGATGACAAATTTTTACTTTATTTTCATAAGAAGCCACCATTGCGAGCTTTACGCTAAACATGTAGAAAAGGCAAAGACAACATGGTGCCTTACAAAACCACTAAAAAAAATGAGTTGCAGATACCTCTGCTGGGAGATTCAAAAAAATGTTTGTGATCCAAGAGATAAATGTGACTACTAAAACCAATATACACTTTTGTGTTTGTTCTTAGATGTGAAATTTTGAAGATTTGTTGTTACAAACTAATGCAAAAGTTCAGTGGGACATAAGTCCTTGCTACCACACTGTGCATGTAGTCGTTACACGTGAAGAAATACACAACAGGAGTGGAATTCTGCTGTCTTGAGAAATTCAGTATTTTAGAGGACAGCTGATTACCCAAACTCCTCACATGAAAGTTATAAACATGAAAAAATATCGAAGAACAGAGAGCTGTATTTTGTTCTTTTTTTTTGCCTGAAATTGCTATTTTTCGTCATCTGAAGAGAGAGAGAACCTTGGAGATAGATAAAAGCAATGTGAAGACTCATTTCTCATTAACCAGAGCAGGTGTGCATAGCCTTACCTGATCTGTCCTCGCACCAGTGGTCTGTTTTTTGTCCTGTTCATATTTGAGTCAAATGGAACCTCAAAGAACTGTAATAAAAAAAAAAAAAAAAAGGAAGAATCAAAATGAAAGGATGCCGGAAAGCATGCCATGCATGGAATGTACTGTCTGCATCTGCAGGTGCTTTAATCTCTATTTTTGAAGGTTCAGAAATACAACGAAAATGGCAAACGCCTTTTACGGAGCTTTGATAGTCTGCATTAATGCTTTTGGCACCCCCTTAGAAAGAAAATCACCTGGAGGACAAAAATAGTTTGCACAAGTCCCCAAAAGTTAATCATTTGAAGTACAGTTTGATTCCAAGTTCTGTTCTCGACGGGTTTGACACAGCTTTTACATGTACACAATTATGTATACACATACATACAGCCCTGCCCCCAGTTTTACATTAATACAAACAGCCCTTGCAAATGTTGTGCTTTTGGTATTTAAAAGACAAACACTAAGTTTTTTCAAGATCATCTAACTTCTGAGAACCTATAACCCACTCCAAAATCAATCAACTCTTGTAAAATGCTACTGAAACTGCACCGAGCATCTAGTTCTAGCAGCAGGGAATGAACACACCATATGGTGTTATTTAATGTCACAACCCAATTTGACTTTAAACATCGCCTATGGGAAAATTCAGGCGGCACTATCTTCATGCTAGGAATTCCTGCAGGCTTTTGTATGATTCGTTTTATAAAGAATGTTACTGGAAAAGCTGAATGCACTTTGCCATACAGCAAACTGTAAAGCCATTTAGTTTTACGTGCGTAAAATAATAACAAAAATAATAAGCATGTATTTACTTATAGAAAGAATACTTTCTACTGACGTTATGTCTGAGGTTTTGGGGTAGGATCCCAATTATGGTGAATATGTAGGAAAAGCACCATAACAAATCATCATTTCAAACAATCAGGCTGACAGTAAGCTCAGTATAGTCAAACTACAGACAGATTTAAGGTGACTATATGATAAACGACTACACGATAAAATCTATGTTATTCCAGCAAACTAATGTAACTTTTTACACAACAAAAGACAAAATTAACAAACATCTTCATTCTGACAGTGCTGCCTTACTGGTCTTACTACCCCCTCTTGCTGGGGCTGCATTCCCAGGGCAATGCCAGCGGACTGGCACACTGGGAGCAGCGGGGACCCCACCAGAGCCCTACTGCTGCACCTGAGGGGAAAGATGCTTCATTTACAGGCACACAGAGATCACAGGAACCACCTTTCCCATCTATTACTTTGAAGTAATGACTATATAACAATTTGGGAACCTCTGCTGTCGCTCCTACGTATTGCAAGCGCGGCAGGGATCGGATACCCATGGATCATCCTGCCTAACAGTGCCCACAATATTCTCCATTTGTGGTGACATTTTTAACCTCAGGTTGAATCATCTTCCTGATGGATTTAACCATTCCCAGGAATAAGGCTATAAGAAAGTCCTGCCTGCATACGAGTGAGAGTGAGGGCGTGCATGTGCTTAAGCCCACATGCTAAAGCTATCCTGCTTAAACAAAACCTGCTAACAGTACGCTCTAAAGCCAAGAAATTTGGCAGTGCGCATCATCTTCATGTTCAGTCATGCTTGTGAGACTGTCCAAACCTGGGAAAGAAGACGACTCAGGCGGGTGGCAGGAGAGAGAGGGCAGAGGGTCAAGGAAGCAGCGGCAGAGCCGGCAAGGGGGGCTCTGGCTGGGGGACCCCAAACCTGCACTGCTTCCCTGCCAGCCAGCAGCTCTGAAACCCCCTGCAACAGTGGCTGCCTCATCCCCCTCCAGTGGCTGGCCAACACAAATCAATGGCTAATTACTGTTGTTAACTGGGGTGAAGCCTGTGCTGCATATTAAAGTCCTCAGTTTGCCCACGATAGATCCAAAACCCACCACAGTTCTGCAGGTGAGGAATCTTGCATTTGTCGATTTGCATTAAAGGCTACGGATTAAATGCTTAAAAGTTAAGAAATATAAAAGCACGGGACTTGAAATCATCAACGCGGCTTTTAATTACTAGTTCACAACCAATTCACTAAAACTTCTCGCCTCCATCTGTGTGGTGGAGCTGGCCAGGACTACGCAGCCGTAGATGGAGATGATGGTTTGCTCGCAGTAAGCCTCCATCCGGAGCAACTGGATGGAGCATCTGACCTGCTTCCAATTCCTACCAACTCTCGAAGCCTTCCAATTTTATTATCGATATTCCTGAAGCAAACTGAGGCTGCTCAGCCAAGAGTCACTCATGCAAGAGAGGAAGGGACTTCAGGAAGAAAAAGCATTAGTGTATACGTCTTTCACTTTCCCAGAGCTTTTTAGATAGGCAGCTAATAGGTTATTTCTCGTCCTCTGTTTGTTATGCCTGATCTGCAGCGGCAATGGCACTCCCAGCTACAATCAAAGCCGGTAAAGACCCTGGTTTGGAAGAAGAGCACAGAGGAGTCTGTGGGGCAGCTACAAGCCCCAGCGCACGGAGCCCCGGCAGCTCACTTCGGAGGGACAGGTCGGATCTTCATGGCTACAGCGCTGCCCTTGAAGTGTTGGATGTTTCACAAAGAACCTCTATAGGAAATGGTAACGACTACCTTCAGAGAAGGGAAAGCACCCCGTTTGGATCCGAAACCAGTGATTGCTCCTGACAGCTCAGCATTTTGCTAATGGTTTGTTTCACTGTTACATTTCAGAGACAATTATGTTAAATGAAGAAAAAATGTCATTTGACATCAGACTGGTAGAGCAACACAAGGGAAAAATTCTATAGAGCTAAAGTATTTTTTCCTGAAAATATTTTGGGTCTATGCTCAGTTTTGCTTTTTTTTTTAAAGACAGAATTTTTATTTATATTTGCAAAGTCTGACTGCTTTGAGCTTACTTCTAGTTTAAACTTGTGCACGTGAGGAGATTTGGGCTCATTTGAAAGTATTTAAGCTTACAGTTAAATGTATTCTGTGTGTGATGGATAAAATCAAAGTAATGCACAAGTTTTAAACTCACTGTGACTCAAACATAAAATGACTGAAATGAAGAAGAGTTGGACACTCAACACTTGCAAGAATTTGCATTTACACAGTTGAGTTAGTATAACCTGGCAATACCATAATCTGTGTATGAAATATTTCCATATATTTAATATAGTAGTTAACCCCTGAACAGAATATAAATTTTGAACAAGAAATTCCTCTGCTCATTTAAGTAGTCAAAAATGTCCATCTCTGTTGTATACAGACACGGTTGCTCCCAAAATTAAGATTACTGCATGACTTAAGTCTGAATTTTTTCGCTTTTTTAAATCTGACAATCTGAATAATCTGTTACTGTCAGCTGTACGCATGAAACTACATATCCAACTGAACTACAGTTAAGAAAAATCCTTTTATTTGCAATGCCCTAGATTCTTTCACTGAGCTAGTTGCTATTACATGTCAGCAAGATGCCATTTATCAAACTTTTCCCATTTTCTTCCCAGATGTTCAGCAAAATTCTCTCTCCACTTGAAATTATTTTCCCCTGATATTCTAGAAAAAATGAAAAAAATGTGCATCTCAAATATCATTCCATAGGAATGAAAGAGTGAACTCAAACATATTATCTCATGCCAGGCCAACACAGTACTGCCTGTTTTAGCAAACAGTAAATTCAGTAAGTTGAATACTGGATAAATAAATATTTTAGAAGCACTCAAGAGGCTTTTTCCTTGGGAAGTCTGAATGCATCAGTTCAGCTGGACAAGGCAGAATATTATCTGCCCCAGGTAGTTGGGAATGTAGCCATCAAAAGGACAGACAGAGGATTAAATCTACAGCATCTAAAAATCCCTGAGTGACAAAACTTGGCAAAAGCTTTCAAGACCCTAACCTAAATTTTAATCAGTATGCATGAACATTTAAAACATGATGATGGAAAAAAATAAATCAGGCCAGATAGTACTTTGTGGTTTATTTCTCTGGCAGGCTCATCAGACTCTTTGTGTAGATCTCATCTAGTTAATATACAGTAATTATATCTTAAACATTTAACAATTCTTAGATTAGCTGTCACATTACTGCTTATAGCTGTTTACAGTCTTTTTTTATTTTCCTTCAGCAGCTTCTTATTGGTTTCTGCTTTGTTCCTAAGTGAAATGTTAAAGAACATTTAATTTCTTCAAGCTACCTCCTGGAAACAGCAATGAATACAGAGGGTAGCTAATCATTCAGACCTCCTGGGGGATACATAGATTAATAATTTTATTTGGACTAAGCCAAGATTCCCATAGCATCACCTTGCAGATACAGATGGCATTATGCTACGCTGGCACTTTGACGACTAACATGCCTTTACAGGACGCCCTCTCACTCTTTCCATATCATCAGTTAAACACCGACACCACCTATTAAGTTTTCAAAGACAGTGGCCTGACTATTTGCAGTTAATTAAGCCAGCGGAGCGGATGGAAAGCCCTGAGCACGTGCTGCGTTTGCCATCCATGGTCATTCCTGCGGGAGAGATTTTAACTACTGAATTATGACGGTTCAATACCTTTACTCCTGTTCACACGAAAACATAAATAGAGTGCATTAAGAGGAACAATATGTCGTATAGTTTATCAACCAGATCACCCGTACTTAGGCTAGTAAATGTCTCTCATACACCGCTTCGGATTTAGAGTGTATCAAGCACCAGCCTGGCCCCCATCCAGGGCCAGCTCTAATCTGTGACACATGGTGGAAACAGCAGCAGCTGAAACAGGCAACCGGTCTTCCCTGTATTGACATAACATTTTACTCTAATGCTAAACACATATTTACATCAGAACCGATAATCCCGTGAGTCTAAAGACGGAGCGGAACCCTGCTATCAAAAGACAATTTAATTCAAGGCAACTCAGAGGTCTTCCCATTGCAAAACCATCCCTGCATCTGAGCAGGCTTCCATGTGCTCCTTGGCGGGAGAATTGCCCTCTGGATGTATGTATTTCTCTCTGAAGCCTCTCTGAAGAACAGTTCAGGTGAATCTACGGCACTAATGAGTGGATGAGAAGATGAGTCACCTCCTCC